TCTATGGAGAAATGAAACTTAAAAACATGGTATTTGGAGATATTTTCCCTAAAAGATAACTACTACTTATTATTTCTTAAACCAAAAGATCTTTACCTTATCTAGATATTAGTCTCGAAACTAAAAAGATAAACCTTCTCCAAACAAATCATGCACCCAACTCAAGCCCTCCTAACTTATTTCTTCCTATCCTAAATTAAAAATAAATAAATAAACTCTAATTTTTATTTGCATCAGAAAGGGACGATATGTTTAAGGGTCTTCACTATACTGTTGAGAATTAAATTATGAACTTTGGGACATAGAGCTACATCTCTAATACTTGACAAAACCCAATTGAGCAACTTATTTAGGTTAGCTTTTGGACAAACATTACTCACTAATCTCTCATCTCTATTCCATAGCTAAACTATTGTCTAGCAAAGAACCTTGAGAGCAATTGTAATTTTTCACTAAAAGTGGTTACTACCTAAAATCTCTATAAAAATTGCTTTTTTACAATAATCTAGCCTCGCACTCTACTAGAAGCACCATGGCAACATTTCTTTCCATAAGACGCTCACTTCTACTTATATATATGAAGACTTCGTCTCTCAAAGCCACATGTTCTCTCCTTATGGGTGACCTTAGGAAGCCACCTAAAATTTCCTATATGGTGACCCCATATGGGGCACCCACATGTTCTCTCCTTATTCCATATATAAAAGTTAGGAATCCCATACAAACTTCTCATACACATCATATCTATCTCAAGGGAAAAGTTTATATAGAGTCGAGGCTCTAAACAATCAAATTTGAACCTACCTCAAAACTTTCACTAGAAGAGGTTGTTTTGATTCCCAAATATCTTCAAATTGATCATCTGAACATCAAGATTCATGGGCATGAGAAAAAAATGGATTTCAAGTTTTGGAAATAGTGTATTTTACAACGCAGTTTTGGACTGTCAATTTTCAAGATTTTCAAGTTTTCATAGATCTGTCGATCTATACTATTTTTGAAGCTTTAAACTTTATAAATAAATATGAAAATATATTTTAAGGCTATCACAAAATTTCTAGTATTGAAACCACATTTCTCAATACTATTTGAAGGTAGGTGCTAATGTGATTGGCTATCACAAAAATTTCCAGTATTAAAATCACATTCCTCAATACTATTTGAAAGTAGGCTCTAATTTGATTGTTTAGGGCCTAGGCTCTATACAAGCCACACCCATATCTCAAAACCCAAGAGATGATAATTAAGATTCTTTACTCGATTGGACTTATATTCTCTTTATCCAATCTTAACCCAACTTATGGTAGGATTTTTACAGGGAAATAACTTTACCTATCAATGTCTCTAAAAATATGATTGAGGGTGAGAGGAGACAGATGATAAGGGAGAAGATTTAAAAGAGCTTGGCTGTGAAATGGGCATTGTCCCTTTCAACGGTCAAACTTTACGTCCATCACTAAAGAGTTGTGTGTATATTGCGGACATTTTGGCTCACTATCCTTCATGGAAGAGCCCCACACGATAATGGATACGTCTCTGCCGGCATTTATTCCAGATAATGCTTTCTACAAAATGAATACCCTTGGCCACACAAAAAAAAAAAAAAATGGTGAAAAGAAAGATATTTCTAAAAAGTTGGAAATAAAAATTTAGAGGAAAATGCCCTAAAATAGGTGCAAGAATGGTAACGAGCCTACTGTCATTTGTAGGGGGCTGTTAATAGTCCCGGGCCGGCTTCTTGGCCCCAAAAAGAACAAAGAAAAAGAAGATCTCTAAATAGTTGGAAATAAAAATGAAAATGCTTTAAAATAGGTGCAAGAATGGTAATGGGCCAGTCATCTTTTGTGTAGGGCTGTCATGCCCAAATAAATTTCAGGCTGGATTCGGTCCGGCATCGGCTCCAACACAAAATTTGTTGAGTTTATATATTACATAATATTAGTACTTTCTTTGCATATTTATAAAGGGCCCAGTCCATGCCAGTCCTTTTTTTTTTTTGGGGCCCAGGTCAGGCTCAGCCCAAGTTATTATTAATTTGGGTTGGGCCTCAAATTAAATTTCAAGCTCATGCATGCAATGCACTGTTTTAGGCCAGGTGTAGGCTGCGGCTGGGCCAACCCAAGCCCTGCCTGGCCCTATTTTTATGTGGCCCAAGGCTGATCCTAGGCAAGAATGGGCCCCGGCCAGCCTAGCCATACATAATGCAGAAACTTGGGCAAACCCCGATTCAGTCCAGTCCTTGTTAATGACAATGCCGGCTCGGCTCGGCTCAGCCCTGCCCTGGCCCATCATGCTCCCAGCCTAAACAAGTTCCTTGTTACAAGTGGACAAGCCTTAACAAAATTTAAGAACACCTGATACTATGACTTCTTCAAGTGCTTAACCAAAATTGCATTGTAACCTAAAGAGGGCTACGTAGCCAACACCTAAAGCCTTTGTTGCCTCTCCTTAAATATCATGTGTCTTATAGAAATGCATTTGATGAGTTGCTTGGCTCATGATTATGTTCTCATTTTTTGGGACTTAGGACATTTCATATCATTGGAATTCCATTTTTGTCTCAGATTCATGAATTTGGAGATTTACAAATAAATAAACCACATTTAAGGCTCAAAATTCACTTGCTATTTCATATTGATTCTGGTAGTCTATATATTAGACCTGCAAATTTTGGGCCAAAGCTCCATCTCTAAAATGGATTTTGGGAGGGTTGCCTCATTGTAACAGGTGCACCTAAAGCTTGCCTTTCTTCATAAAGTAAAGCTCTAAAATGAACACCAAAATGTCCAAAAAAATCAAAAATCAAAAATCAAAAAAATATAAAATGCCTCGAAGTCATTGGCTTCTATTACATTTGGAACTGCAAAACGTTCACCACCATTTCAAATGAGGCTGCACAAGTAAAATTTTGCATGCTTGGTTGTGGTGAGAGAGGTTAGTGGGGGCCATCCCAATCCTCTAAATATTTCGCGAATTGGGCATTTCTTGTTAGGAACTAACTAGTTCTGTCGGGAACCAACCATTCTGAACCTAAATTTTATTTTTTATTTTTCTAATTTTTCTTTTGATATCAAGTTTTTCATTTTTTATTTTTTAGAAAGTTCAAAGGCTTGACCTTTCTCACCCAAACCAATACAAAGGATAAGAGTATTTTTAAGACAATGCACATCTTTGTTACATATACTGTATTTTCATCAAGTTATTCTTATTCCCATATATCACATCCCCGGAGAGTGCCTAACATCGCTTATTCCGCTCATTCTACGCCTGTGTTGCTTTACTGAGGTTTGGCTACATGAAGAAATGCTAAATTATTTCTCATAAAAATAAAATTAAATTACAGAAATCCTTCAACTATTTTTGTTTTGATTCTCCTAAAAATGGGATAAAAAATAAACTTAGGTCAATAGTTATCAGAGCCCTCAACCAACGACGATAACTGTAATTCTTGAGAAATTCTTAGAAACAATATGTAAATTTTTCATCAAGTTGGATACACGTAAAAATATATTTTTTCTTTTTTGTATTTTTAGAGATTATTTGCCTTTTTTCTAAGATTGCGCTTTTTATTGATAAATAGGTCTAGCAATGGGCCAAGCTATGAGTAGACAGGCCTCGGCTGGTAGGCCATACCCTTCCCTAGCGCCTTGGCCGGCCTGATGCCAAGGTCGGCCAATTGTTCAAAGAGGAAGGGTTGGCCAGGGCTGGGTGAATAATTGCCTTAGGCTACAAAATTTACTTTTCTTAAATGTTAATACTGAAAGAACAATCCAAGGTATAAATTCTCTTCATGATGGATGTAAATAGGTGGTTCATCTAAAACCAATTGAAACTACCTGTCCAAATGTTTTTTTTATAGAATTATTATTTCTAACTTTCAAAAATCATTTATTTTTTCATATTCATGATCTCCATGTTAGATATGACATATCTTTAAAAATTAAATCCAAAAACTCAAAAATAGATTTTTAAGAGGCAACCCATTCCTACGTGGACTCGTAAAAAATGGGTCCACATTGAAATAGATCTCAAAAAGTTACATTATGACGCCCACGCCTCATGCCCACCCACTTAGGCCATAATCTTCTTTCTCTTAGCCCGGGCCTACGAGCCATATATGCTAGGGGGGGCCAGGGTCAGCTAGGTTGGGCCACTAGGCCGATTGCCAGGCCTAGAGCTAGTGAAGTGTCACGCATGATCCTACTTCATAAGTATTTTAACACGTCCAGGATATTTTTAAAACTATTCAATAATGTGGTTTACCTTTGGATTTAGAATTTTAAACTAGAGTAAAAAACTTGGCAAGATTAACCTATAATAAAGCTGGGGTTTCTCCTTTTAGTAGTGCAGTATGACAACATGATCCTACACCATTTAAGTCTGACAATTGATGGATGAGGTTTCTATATAAGGCCTAGACTTTATAACAATAAAAAAAAAAAACCTCATCTTAAATTCTTCCCCATTATGGCTCTACAATCCGACAGTAAAATTTGAACGTCAAAAGCTTACAAATTTTGTGGTTCTTTCGATGTTTATTTTTTAAGGCAAAATGGTTGGTAAAGATAATTTGTTACAATAAACAGTATTTTTAAAACTTAAAATCTTAATTATGAGATTAAGCTTTACTTATTTTGATAGGGATGATAAGAATGGTCCATTATATTGCATAATTTGGATTTAAAAATTAAAAAATTAAAAAAAAAAAAAGTCATGTGCACGGAAATACACGCTACTAGTGTATTAATCATTTACCATTTTAGCCCCAAAATTTGTGGTTAGCCACGAGTCCAGTACCATAGGCAAAATTGTCATCGTGAAAGAGTGAGAATCCATAATTACGAAAATGCAATCGGCATAATCGAAAAATTTGCCCTGATGCCCCCGCTGGTCCCCATCACCCTTGCCTCAGCAACGTGCATGGCCCATGAGCCTCAAGGTTATTTTGGTCATTTGTCTCATACCCAAACCACAACCCAGAATAAATCCACAATCCAGAATAAATCCACAATCACATCCAACGGTCAGCATTTCATCTCATACTAAAATGAAATTAACAGAGAAGTATCCATAAACAAAAACAAAAATTAAAAGGAAATATTAAAACAAATTTATTAAAAAAGGATACGAGAAGGCCAAAAAAAAAGTGCTCAACGACAGAAATAAGAAAATGAAGAAGATTTCGGGCAAAATAAAGCTCCTTAAATTTCGGCAAAGTTTCGGACTTTCCTCCAAACTCTTCCTCCTCCGAATCACGCTAACGAAAAATCACTGAAAAGGAGCCGAAATGTACTCTGCAAAACGCCGGTCAGTCCTCAAAACCTCCCACTCCCCAAAGCAGCGCCACGAAAACTCCCGCAAGATTGCGAATTTTTCACGAAATTTCGGCGAAGTTACCGCCTTCCTCGAAGCAACCCTCACGAAAACCACCCGAAAAAGTGGCCGAAACAAAAGACCCAAAATTTCTCCGAGACTTTCCCGATATTTCGCCTACTCCGAAGTAAATGGCTCCAAATGTCGCTTAAACTTTCCCGAGATTTCGCCTACTCCTGAGTAAATGGCACCTAAGTAAGCGACCCAAAATTTCGCCGAAATTTCTGGAAATTTCGGCTTCTACTCTAGCGTTCCCCAAAGTCCCAAGCAGTACCCAACAAAATTTACCCTAGATTAATCCAAACTCAAGCCGAAATTTTTCCAAATTTCGCCAGGCCGAAATTTTTCCGAAAATCGCCAACCCAGCCGATATTTCGGTGCAAAATTTCGGCTAGTCCTGAAACCCGGTCTTCTTCCAAATGGCGTTACGAACTCGGCTGAGATCCCTTCCTTTGAGGGTTCGGCCTGCTCCTTCGTGCACAGAGAAGGAAACGATGTTTGCCCTCGCAAATTGACGAGCAATCAACAAATGGGGAGGGACCATTTCCCCTTCTCTCTCTTCATATTCTCTCTCTTCGTCGCTTTCTCTCTCTAGATGGCGATCTCTGAACTCCTCTCTGAGGATCTTCGACCAGTCGGGTATGTTGACGGGCGCCGAGAAGCTTGCGGCCGCGCTCCGGCGTTCGCCGCAACCAGGCAAGGAGCCGGCCGGCCGTCTGGGAGCCCGGGCAGCCGGGATCACAATCCTCTCGGAAGCCCGGCGCGAGTTCCAGATGTCCTCCTCGCTGAGATCCCCAAGCATGTCGCCACAGTCGGCGGCAAACTCGACCGGAGAGGCGAGGAGTCGGGATCCGTAGCTCATTGTGCAGGTGGATTGATCTGAGATGGAGCCAAAACACTTGCACGCAAAATGAACACTTAGCTCTCTCTCTTCCCTCTTATCTGTCTCTTCGACCTCAGAAATTAACCTACCTCTCTCTCTCTCTCTCTCTCTCTCTCTCTCTCCCTTACAGCTTTGAAAACTAAGCTCCGTCTTCTCTCTTTCCTTTTGTCTTAGTATATTAGCTGGGTTCGGACTGTGTGGGTTTACAAACGAGAGAAGATAGGCACTTTCTCTCTCTACGCTCTTTTCTCTCTTTTCTTAGATTTGAGGAGTTGGGGTCTGGTATATTGGGATACAAGGCCGAGGGGAGAAGCTCCTCTCTCTCTCTCTCTGTTCAATCTCTATCGACTGCTCTGCAATCGCAGTTTTGGGGAGTTGGGTCTGAGGAAGGGGAATTTATAAAGTAGGAGGAGAGAGAAAGTCATAAAATGGTAGAGAGAGAAAGTGGATAAGATTTATCCGATTTCAGTGCTGGTTTAATCGCAGCTTCGAGGAGCTGGTGTTCCGAGCAGGGAGGGGTTTATAAAGGGGAGGAGAGAGAAAGTCAATAAAAGGTCGAGAAGGGGAGAGAGAAACTCGGAATGTAGAGAGAGAAAGTGGATAAGAATTATCCGATTTCTATGCTGGTTTTGTAATGAAAACAGAAAACCTGGCTTCAAATTTTTTATAGTCAATGACGAAATTGCCCTCCCATCTTTTTCCTGGAAAAGACTAAATTGCCCCTTTTTATTCGTACGGATATGACTGATAAGGCCTAATCCTTTATTGGAAATGTCTTAAATAGCCCCAGCCCTGTCCTTATTTATTATTTATACACAAGAGGATTGTACATTTATCAGTGCGTTCAATTTCTTGATTTGACTGCAAGGTCCCTAGACGTAAAAGACACGGGTTTGATGAGTCAGCCGACGTACTTATTATCGTGCGGTGCTCTGTCTATCTAACGTCTATTTCTGGGATAAACGTCAGTCCCTCTCTAGGATAAATGTCTAAAAATGTTATATCCACTCAATGTCAAAATACTAGTGAAAAAAAAAAAAAAGAGGAAAATATTTGGATAAGACCCCTCCTATCCATGTGTATAGGATTTCAAATTATCGCCATTAAATTTGGTGGAGACATATAAAAAAGTCTATTTCGACGATGTTTGTGATAACTTTTTTAGATATTCGTATTAATTTTAATGGTGATCCTTTGAATCTTATACACATCGGTAGGAGAGAGTCCTATAGGATTATTATGCAAAAAAAATTCAAAAAATATCATTTATTTTTTGGGCACATATATAATGAGGACATTTACCTTAGATGTGAAATTGGGTTGTTGCATTTATTGAACTAACCAAGTTTAAAGTTTAAAAAAAAAAAAATTGAACTTTATGATACACCCAAACTATCAAATTTCAGGTTGTAAGTCATTGTGACTATCATGTATCAAAAGTAAATGGTTTCATTGTATATAATCCCGTTTGTTTTTTGAAAAAAAAAAAATCTAAAATTATATCATTGTCAATGTTGAGATTATCTAACATTAAAATTTTGGATCGAAAATGTATTTTTGAGATATATTATGTAGGGAAACTGCACAATAATAGTGTGAGTTAGCCGGCTCACAAAACGCTTAACCCAAAAAAATAAAACATGGAAGATGACTTCATATTTTATCAAATTTGGGAAACCGTGGATGTGCTTACCTCCATTATTGAGAGGAGACTAGCTACTGAATTTATGACTGGTAGTATTTTAAAACAAAAAGCATTATGATCTAGATCATCGAATGAATGAATAATCGGTCGGAATGGAATTCCTTATGGTGTGGTATTGGTCCCAACACAATTCCCCCTTAAATATCCCTTTATATATATATATATATATATATTTTTAATTATCTAACGTTTTCCTATGTCCCCTTATATCCCCAACCACATAACCTTAATTAAATTTTTATTTTATTATTTTAATAGTTTCTTAATCACGTGTTCGCACTATTTCGAATCGTCGATCCAACAATCGAACATAGATCTATGAAGTGACTAATCCACCCCACTAATTCAGGTTTTGAGACTAATTTGACTGAGTTGAACCTATAAGATGGGGATTTTTTGAAAAAAGGAAAATATGAATAATAATTTTAAAATATGTGTTGTATTATAACAACAGTTGTCCATAAACAACCAACTTGGCTGATATAACCAGCCAAAATCTATTAAATATTACATATTTGTTTTGAACTAGATTGTCCAAGGCATTGATCGGCGGTCTAATCGGTTGGACCGGTAGATCAAATCTAGTCCTGATAACTACAGCCTTCACATGCATTCCAGTTTAGATATAAAGAGGCCAATAGTCATTCAATATCTCAATGCACATGTAATATGATATACATGTATGGAGATTTAAAATTAGGAAAAATTATCGTACCCTTAAAATGAACTTTGTGTATATCCTACCTTCAAAACTTCTAATATCACACCCTAGACTCAAATTTGTTTTTTTTTATATTTACCCTAGTCAAAAAGTCCAAAAAAATTAAGACTCAAATGCACTTCTCCTCTCTTACTTTCTCTTCTCACCTCTCTGTCTTTCTCTCTACCCGCCCTCAATTCTAGGTGTGAACTGAGGACAACATCATTGGTTGGTATGTTTACCAAGTCATAATTAATGTGTGATGTTGTGAGCTCACCAACAATCGGTTGATCGATATTACATGTTTGGATGCTCCTTATGCAGGGAGAGTATTTTGTGCAGAAGACAAGTTAATTGCAAATATATATAAAATGAGTATACAAAGAGACCATTTTCTTAAGTACAAATAGGCCACAATCAATTTTTTTCGTCAAAATTTAGATTGGATGGTTGTAAGTATATCCTTAACTCGACTCAAAGTTCAAAAAATAAATAAAAAAAAGCTATTGTATTTTGTGACACACTCCAAACCATCCAATTTGACATCTAAGGCCTAGGAGTGATTGTGACAATGGTAAATAGTTCATAATATACAATCCCTTATGTAGCTTACCACAATTAATGAAAATATTAATTTCATATCATTGTCAACCATGTGATCAATATTGAATAGATGTCCCAAGAAATTTATGTTTGTGTATATACAAAGAATGTTGGCCCTTTTATATGCAGATTGCGTTTGAAGCTAATGCATGCCAAACCCAAATAATTAAGCATGGGTTTTAAGTTTGGGTGTGGTTTCTATAAGGTTGCAACCTTAAACAATCCAATTAAGACTCATCTTCAAAGTTTATCATAACACGTAATTTCGAAGTAAAAAATTCTTAGAACTATATTAAAATCTATTTTCATCTATAATTATAACATTTTAAATTTAAAAAATAGTTAAAATCAAGTAGATCTATAAACATATGAAAATCTTAAAAATGGACAGTCCAGATAAGATGCACTATTTCTAAGACTCAAAATAATTTTTTGTTTTCATATTCCTACATCTCGATGTCGAGATGATCAATTAGAGGATATTTCAATATTAAAACAATATTTTCTGATGGATTTTTAAAGTACATCTTAAAATTGCAACCTTATACAAACTTTTTCCTTTTAAGTTTCAAGCATAATAAAAATTTGTTGTTGTTGTTTTTGTTGTGTTGTTATTATTATTATTATTATTATAATTATTCTAAAAAAAAAAAACTTAGTTGAACCCAATCCCACGCTGGCATCATTTACAAATTTTTATATATTGAGAATACTGCATATGAAAGTCATTTTCATTTGAAGAGGACCATTTGTTTCAAGTTTCAACCCAGAACTGACAAAATCATCAAATTTGAAAAATCATCCCATTTAAGAATATGATTATTTTCTAATATTTATTTCCCTTGGTTATATCTTTTAAATTATGTTAATAAACGACCGAATTGCACATACTCTGGCTTAAAAACCCTGAAAGCGCAAGGGAATTTTAGCAATTTGGCTCACTTAAATGGTTCAAACTAAAATGACAATGGAGAATGCTACAAATAAAGTTTTCTCATATGTAAATAACACCTTAAATAAAAAGTGAAAATTAAATCACATCTAATATCAACTACTCTGCATTTTACCTATTAACTAAACAACGGCTAAAAACAATTATTATATACAACCAATATGAAGTTAGAAAAAATAAAGGGGGGAGTTATTATAAAAGGGCAAAGATTATAGAAGGTGTCAACCTCGTGCTGTAGAAGTAAGGTGCAACTAAAAAATCAGCTCGACAAAACCATTCCGATGTTGAAAAGCACTATAGTTGATCATGTCGATCCTAAGATGTTTGGATATGGAAAAAAGATAAATTCAAGTTTTAAAAATAATGCATCTTGTACTATATTATCTAGATTATCTATTTTCAATTTTTTTAAAATGTTTATAAATCTGCCTAATGATAATATTTTTGGATATTTAAAGTTTATAATTAGAGGTGAAAATAGATTTTTAGGCCATTATATATGTTTGCGATATTAAAACTACATCTTTTAACAAGATTTAGAGGTGCCACACTTTATACAAACCCCATCCATTATAAAATCATACAAATCCTTTGCCGCACAAAAACGTACGCAATAACTTGCTTCTAGGGAAGGCAACGGGTTGGGTCTAGCTGGACTCGGACCCAAATAGTATTTGGGTCTAGGTCTTTCTGATCGAAAATTTAGTTAGGTCTATTATCACCATATGACTATGAGCTTCTTTTTTCTTTTCTTTTTTTGCCGTTTTTTTTAGTTTTTGCCATCATATACCCATATTATTGGCAATATATACAGTATTGCACAATATTTATGAATTCCCACTTATACCCACATTCTTTGCTGCTTTACGTAATAACTAAAAATTCTGAAAAAACAAACGTATTGGCAACATTTATAAATACCAACATATACCCATATTATTCGAGTCAGATCGGCATGACCTAAACATGGACCCGAAACCCGACCCGAATAATATTTGAGTCCAGATTTTGGACCCACACTCAACTTTTGACATCCAAAATTTGGACCCGCACCCAAACCCCGGGTCTAACCTTAGGGTTCCGGGTCTAATCCCGAGTCTAACCTTGGGGTTCCGGGTCTAATTAGGTCCATTGCCACCCCTACATTGAATTTGAAGAGGTTGAAAGGGTATAATGGGGAGGCACCCTACTTTGATCAAAGGGTGTTTTAGTAATTTTACTTTATGTTTATCATTACGAAGGGAGGGAGAGGGGGGCTCACAACTCCCTACTTTTTGTCGTGACTCTTTGCTCCTGGTCCACCTGGAATCTAATCCAGCTCCAAAATGCCTAAATGACTAAAAGCCCCCTGTCATTCTTCCTATGACCCAAACCACCATAAGATAGTCACGGAGATCTTCACGTTAAAATTAATTAGCAGAAGTGTTCATACTCTTGAGGGAGTATGTTGTCCATCTACTTCCTCGAATAAAATTAAATAAAATGGATCGATAGGCTGCAGTCTTATCAAAATAAGTAAAGCCTCACCTCATAACTCATAAAAAATTGCAATTCAGACATTGAAAGACCTTTATATCCATCATCTCAACTTGAACATCATGTGAGAGAAAAAAATAGGGTTTCAAGCTTTAA